GGTCCTTCATCCCCACTAGCTGACCTGCCGGGGTCTGCCGGGCCGATTACGCCGATTGCCACACCCGTTGATCCCAAGGGGGACTGTGTTGTGCCTCCTACAGATGAACAGGTTCTGAGGGCTGAGGAAGCCCCCGCTGCCCCCCCTCCAACGGGGCTTGCCCTGGACATGACCGAGAACCAACAACCTTCTTCTTCTTCAAGTCTACCACCTCCTGTCGATCTGAAAGCGAAGCGACCATGCGCCGGAAGCGGAGAGGGTCCCGCGTCGCGTACGCGATCGAAATCTCTCCCGTTTCGTTAACGTTTGATCGTCTAGCTGTTCTCCCTGTTGTTACCGCGCTGCAGGGGCGCCATAATGTATGTCGGGTTTTACATGGGTGACTGTTTTTAAGTGTTGTTCGGCGCGGGGACGCCGTCACCCTTTATTGTTAAACGCACCTTGGTGCCCTAATAAGATGTTTTACGGAATTGGTTGATCACCCTTTTCCCAGCCGAGACGGCTGATTTTTTTCACCGGGGGGGGATGATGTAATAACAGCCATAGAGGGTTCACGTGGGGATTGGCTTGCCGGTCCTGCTTTGTAGCCAATAAGGGATGAGCCAGGGAGCATGGCCTCGGCGTGATCGCGGCGTGTTAGCAGGGGTGATTGGCCTGGCCAATCGGGGCCTCAGCTAATGGGGAGCCGGATCAGAGGCGTGCTCCCGGGATTGACAGGGAACCATCGGGAGCGGTCAACGCTGTCCATGGAGGATTGGCTGGGGGGTACCACGTGACGAAGGGATTAAGAGAGAGGGAGAGAGGACAGTCGTGAGCAGACTTGGGGACGACAAGAGCAAGAGTCACGCGCGTACGGGGGCTCTGGGTGCCACGTGCGCGGTGGGGACTTGGCGAGAAGTCTGCCCTCTCTCCGTTGTCTGCCAGCAACGGAGAGTGTGTGAAGTGTAACTGTGGAAGTTGAAAATAAAAAGGACTGATTCCGGAAGCCGTCTCAAGGAGGTTTATTACACATACACACACATGCACATACACACACGCACACACATGCACATACACACACGCATACATACACACACACATGCACATACATACACACACGCACATACATACACACACACGCACATACACACACATGCACATACACACACATACACACACACATACATACACTACACGCACATACATACACACATACATACACACACGCACACATACATACACACACATGCATACATACACGCACGCACATACACGCACGCACATACACGCACATACACACACATATATACATACATACACACATACACACACACACCCACATACCCACACATGCACATACATACACACACACATACACACACACACACGCAGATACATACACACGCACGCATACATATACGCACACACACACAGGTATACACACACACGCAGATACACACACACACATATCACCATCATCATCACCATCATTACCATCATCATCATCATCACCATCATCATCACCAGTACAGCTATTGAAGGCTTCACAAACTACACGGCCGAAATAGATGTTAATAATGCGGGAGCCAGAGGACATCCCTGTCCACACCCCGGCCATGTAGTTTTACCCCGGGCCCGCTCACCATCATGAAGGTCCTTAATGATCGTGAGCAGAGGGTCAGGGACTCCGAAAGCACGAAGAACAACCCAGAGCCCAGGCCTACTGATGGTATCATAGGCCTTGACCAGGTCAATAAAGCAGAGATGTAGGTCTTGTTGGAATTTCCAACACCTCTGCTGTAGCAGACGGACAGAAAATATGGCATCTGTGCAGGACCGCCCTTTCCTGAAACCACATTGGGGCTCCGCAAGCCTCTCCTCAGCATGCCTAGCAAGGCGATGTTGAATAATCCTTGCCAGGACCTTTCCCGGCACACTGAGGAGTGAGATGCCCCTGTAGTTGTTAGTCTGTGCAGGGTCGCCCTTCTTCAAGAGGGGGACCACCAGGGCATCCTTCCAATCCTGCGGAACCGTCCAGTAGTCCAGACTCTTGTTATTATGTCATGTAGGGCAGTCTGTGCACAAACGCCACCCTCCCTCAGCATTTCTCTTGAGAGATCATTTCTGCCCGGTGCCTTTCCTGGTCTCAGGCTCTGGATCGCTTTCAGTACTTCCTTAGATGGCAGCTCAGCCAGCCACTCACAGGGGGTGACTTCCTCTTCAAATAATGAGGCACCGCAGCCTCAGCAGGGTTATCCTCTCTTTGTCCCACAATGTTTTGCAGGCTGGGGGAGTTCCCCTCTCCCGGGACCTCACAGAATTGCTCAGCAAATCTGCAAACCTGTTCCTATGGGTCGGAGATTGGATCACCGTTCTTTCCCTTAATGATGGTAATAGGTGTGGTGCTGCAGGTCACTTTTTTGATGGAATTAAACAGTGATTTGTGATCGCGGGCCATTGAGGCAGACTCCATCTCTTCAGGAACCTGCAACCACCAACCATCCTCGCAGCGCCTCACGGCTCTCCGAACCTCTGAGCGAAGGCTGCGGTAAGCCGCCTCATTCTCTGACATGGGATGCTGTAGACGAGAGTGGGCCTGTTGCTTTTTCTCAGCCAGCCTGAACACCTCCTCTGTCAGCCAGGGTCTCTGAGGAGGTCTGGACCGTGTACCCAAAGCAGCCATTGCAGCTGCATGAGCCACAGTCCTAAACCTCGCCCATTTACCCTCGACATGAGTGGGGGACGATGCCAACCCCAGCCGCAAGCGATGATGAAATTCTCGCTTGCAACTTTCATCAGCTGAGACCAGGCCACCTTAGGTTGGAATGGGGTCCTGGGTGTACACCCACCACCGGAGTGGAAGAATGGCAGGCGCATCTTACTGATGACTAGTCGATGGTCAGAGGGCAGATCAGCTCCACGGTAGGTCCTGGTGTCAAGGACATGGGCCCGCATCCGCTGGTCCGTCACTATGTAGTCCAGCAGATGTTCTTGCTTGTGTAGTGACTGTGATTGTCACTGTGTGGTGCCGGGCTTACGAAGCCACGGCGTATAATGTGTTGGCATTACGTGCAGCCCGCTCACTGGGCGTAGTACCACCAGCCCTCGCGGGGCTGGGTGAGCGCTGGTCAGCGCGGAGACACCACGTACGGCGTGCGGTGCGGGCTCCCGGCGAGGGAGCGAGAGGGAGCGTCAGCCAGCCAGGGTTACGTTGGGGCACGATACGCCGGTTGACCTGCCGACACGTGACCGGATGATATTGGAGGGGGCCACCGGTGGACGGGGGGCCGCTGGGCGGTCACGTGGTCTACAAGAGCCTTCGGGGAGCCTTCGGGAAAGAGCCGGAAAGATCTAGAAGGTGGGCGGGGCGAGGGGTTGTAGATCTGAAGTTTTCGCGACTGCGATGATTCATACTCTTTGGTGTTTTCGGTAAAGTCACGTAGGTGAAAATAAAATAAAATTAAAACTAAATTAAATCACGACGTTTCGGACGCCACGCAAGTGTCTGTCAACGGGCGGGAAAGCGTGGCCTGCTGCTGATGCAGACCAAAGAGTGAAAGGCTCGGGGTTCTTCGTGTTGCTGGCGATGAAGATCCGCATCGGGTTGAAGAAGCCTCTAGTCACGCGGTCAACACCCAAGTGTAGCTTGTGTTGTGTCGCTGAAGAGTGTTGCTCCCAAGACAACGTCTGCGACCGAGTTGGACTCGACACACTTGGACCCGCCGCCGGGTTCATAGAGCAGCGTAGCGCTAACCGCTACACCACCGCTACCCATCGCGCTGTGGGGGTCACCTTGGTCTCGATGTTGCGTCCTCTCAGTGCCGAGCGGACGAAGCGCAGCACGCAGTCCACCAGCCCCTCGCCCTTCCACGTGCTCAGCCGTCCGTCCGGATCTGCCGAGCTCAACTCCCTGCAATGTCACCGCCGTGACGTGAACCCCCGACGTTCCCTGTCGCGTCCACCGCGTGACGTCGCGTCAACCGCGGCGTTCCCCGTCACGTCCACCACGAAATCACCGCCCCTTACCGTAGGCACGTCAAGGCGTTGCAGAATGCCGCGGAAGGCGAGGCGGACGAGCCGGGTGGGGAGGTTGAGGCGGGCAAGTCTCCAAAGTTGCTCCTCCAGCCGCTCTCTGGCACCAGCACGTGCTCCACCAGCGCCGGGAGGCAAAGCTCCACCAGCGCAGCCCTCAGAAACTCATGGCGCGACAGGTTCCACAGCGTGCCTGGGGTAGGGGTGGCGAGGGTGGGTGGTGAGCGTGGGTGGTGAGCGTGGGTGGTGAGTGTGGGTGGCGAGGGTGGGTGGCGAGTGTGGGTGGTGAGTGTGGGTGGTGAGTGTGGATGGTGAGCGTGGGTGGTGAGCGTGGGTGGCGAGCGTGGGTGGCGAGCGTGGGTGGCGAGTGTGGGTGGCGAGGGTGGGTGGCGAGTGTGGGTGGCGAGGGTGGATGGTGAGTGGGTGGAGCGTGGGTGGTGAGCGTGGGTGGCGAGCGTGGGTGGCGAGCGTGGGTGGCGAGGGTGGGTGGCGAGGGTGGGTGGCGAGCGTGGGTGGCGAGCGTGGGTGGCGAGCGTGGGTGGCGAGCGTGGGTGGCGAGCGTGGGTGGCGAGCGTGGGTGGTGAGCGTGGGTGGTGAGCGTGGGTGGTGAGCGTGGGTGGTGAGCGTGGGTGGTGAGCGGGTGGTGAGCGTGGGTGGTGAGCGTGGGTGGTGAGCGTGGGTGGTGAGCGTGGGTGGTGAGCGTGGTGGTGAGTGTGGGTGGTGAGTGTGGGTGGTGAGTGTGGGTGGTGAGTGTGGGTGGTGAGGGTGGGTGGTGGTGAGTGTGGGTGGTGTGGGTGGTGAGTGTGGGTGGTGAGTGTGGGTGGTGAGTGTGGGTGGGTTGCTACCGGTGATCTTCTCCAGGGTGTGAGGGTTGTGAGTGCGTCCCAGCAGGCTGGCTAAGGCCGCGAGGCTTCCATTGTTGCTAAATGCCAATGCGCCAGCATGGCTGGAGCTGAGGACTTGCAACATCTCGCATGCAGACGCAAGCACCTGTAGGGGCACGGGGAGGTGAGGAGATGCACAAACAACCGCCATTCGCCAGACCATGTGCACCTTGAGGCCACGTGAAGTGTCAAACGCCCACTGGCAGGAGGTCAAGGGGCAAACCCAGGTGCCACGGGTCAACTGAGATGACCGAGATGACTGGGTAATGCACCACCTGTGCCCCCTACTGTGCCAACTTGCCGTGCTTTAGCCACCCGGCGCTCCGCTCGTTGTTGTGAGCGTCGCTCCTCCGTCCTCCGTTGTTGTTGGAGGGCGACTGCCTCACAGACAAAAATCCCCCGTGTAGCCTTAACAGACTGTAGGAGCAAGTGCTGTGAGCGAGTAGCACCTGTAAAGGCCGGCACGGCACACGAGGGGGTCGGTGGCCAACACCATGCCCTTTGTCGCCCTAGCAGCGATGTTTACACATTTGAGGCTGAGTCGACCTACACACACACACAGACACATATCCTTGTCCCCCCGTGCGCCCCACCCGTGGTCTCACATGGTCGTCCTCCTCACACTCAACGAGCAGCGTGAATATTGAGCGCAGCTTCCCAGCCGCCCACACCACCGCCACCGCCAACTTGTCAGGTTGCTGGCAATCACCGCCACCAACAGCAACACCACAACCACCACCGCCAACAACACCACCACCGCCAACACCACCGCCAACACCAGCACTGCCACCACCGCCACCACCGCCAACAACACCACCACCGCCAACAACACCACCACCACCGCCACCACCGCCAACACCACAACCACCACCGCCAACACCACCACCGCCAACACCGCCACCGCCAACACCGCCACCACCGCCACCACCACCACCACCATCGCCACCACCAACGCCACCACCACCACCGCCAACACCACCGCCAACACCACCAACGCCCCCACCAACACCGCCACCTCCCCCACCCTCCCCCACCGAGAAGCCTCCTCTCTCTCGCTGCCGCCCCCCTCCGGCGGTGTTGGCAGTGGCGGCGGTGGCGGTGCTGGTAAAGAAGCAGCCTCTGAGAGCGCCAATGAAGCCGGACCACCAGCGGCGCGGCAGGGAGCCAAGCGGTGGTGCGGCGGCAGCAGGGGCAGCAGGGGCAGCAGAGACAGCAGCAGGGGCAGCAGGGGCAGCAGCAGGGGCAGCAGCAGCAGGGACAGCAGCAGGGGCAGCAGCAGGGGCAGCAGCAGGGACAGCAGCAGCAGGGACAGCAGCAGGGGCAGCAGCAGGGGCAGCAGCAGGGGCAGCAGCAGCAGGGACAGCAGCAGGGGCAGCAGCAGGGGCAGCAGCAGGGACAGCAGCAGCAGGGACAGCAGCAGCAGGGACAGCAGCAGGGACAGCAGCAGGGGCAGCAGAAGGGGCAGCAGCAGGGACAGCAGCAGCAGGGACAGCAGCAGGGGCAGCAGCAGAGACAGCAGCAGGGGCAGCAGCAGGGACAGCAGCAGCAGGGGCAGCAGCAGGGACAGCAGCAGGGGCAGCAGCAGCAGGGGCAGCAGCAGCAGGAGCAGGGGCAGGGCGTGGAGCGTCAGACAGGAGCGCCGCGGTGGCCATGGTGGTGACAAAGTCCTTCGGCCTGGGAGGGGGGGAGTGGGGGAGAGGTGAGCGTGTGTGTGTGTAGACATTACACACAGACACACACACATTACCACAACAGCAACCGCCATTCGCCACTAAGTGGCGGTGATGTCACCACGACGCTTGTGCCAGGCCACGTGCACCTTGAGGCTGCCACGTGAAGTGTCGAACGCCCGCTGGCAGGAGGTCACGGGGCAGACCCAGCAGGTGCCACGGGTCGACTGACTGAGATGACCGAGATGACTGGCTGATGCACCATCTGTGCCCCCTACTGTACCAACTTGCTGTGCTTTAGCCACCCGGCGCTCCGCTCGTTGTTGTGAGCGTCGCTCCTCCGCCCTCCGTTGTTGTTGGAGGGCGACTGCCTCCAACTGCCCAGTAGCGTCCTTCACGAGCCTCCTCCACTGAGGCCGATCTTGACACCGCTGGTACCAGTCATCGGCAAGTCCACTCAGCTCCACGTCCTCCTGTACCACATCACTCCATCTCTTCTCTAGCCCGTGCCACGCCCGTTTAGCCCCCTCGATCCGGCCGAACAAAAGCTGTTTAGGCATGCGGTGGCTGGGCATGCGGGCTACATGACCCAGCCAACGCAGCCTTGCCTGCCGGAGGAGCTCACCGATGGGACTTTGCCCAGATCTTTCAAGGATTTGTGAGCTCCTCACACAATCCAGCCTATTTAAACCCAACAACCAGCACAACAACCACCACACAAACAACAACCACCACCACACAAACAACAACAACCATCACCACAACAACCACCACAACCACCACCACCACACAAACAACAACCACAACAACAACCACCACCACACAAACAACCATCACCACAACAACCACCACCACACAAACAACAACCACCACAACAACCACCACCACACAAACAACCATCACCACAACAACAACCACCACACAAACAACAACAACCACCACCACACAAACAACAACAACCACCACCACACAAACAACCACCACAACCACCACCACACAAACAACAACCACCACAACAACCACCACACAAACAACCACCACACAAACAACCACCACCACCACAACAACCACCACCACCACAACAACCACCACCACAACAACCACCACCACAACCACTACAACCACAACCACAACAACAACCACCACTACAACCACCACCACAGCAACCACCACCACCACAACCACCACAACAACCACCACCACAACAACCACCACAACAACCACCACCACAACAACCACCACAACAACCACCACAACAACCACCACCACCACAACAACCACCACCACTACAACCACCACCACAACAACCACCACCACAACAACCACCACCACCACCACTACAACCTCCAACCTGGGTGCCGCCATCTTGAACTTGGCGATGGTCTCCGGGTTATGACGTCACCGGGAATCGTTTGTTCGATTCTCATCGATTCTAATCGTTGGTTTGCGCGTCTCTCTCTGCTAATCGATTCCCATCGATTATAATCATCGTTTTGCGTGTCTCCCTCTCTCTGATGATCGATTATCATCGATTACATTATCCGTTCCGCTGGCTCCGTGTGGCTATGAGACGTTGACCACCTCGCCTGGTCTACAGGAGGTCGTGGGTTCGATCCCGACCCTGACCACAACAACCACCACAACCACCACAACAACCACCATAACCACCACAACCACCACCACAACAACCCCCACTACCACCACTACAACTACCACCACAACAACCACCACTACCACCACCACAACAACAACAACCACCACAACAACCACCACTACCACCACCACTACAACCACCACCACAACCACCACCACAAAAACCACCACAACCACCACCAGAACCACAACCACCACAACAACCACCACAACAACCCCCTACTCACAGCACTTGCCCCTACAGCCTGCTAGAGGCTACACGGGGGATCTTTGTCTCTGTGTGTTCATAGCTGCTGCTGCTCACAGCACTTGCCCCTACAGTCTGCTACTACAGGCTACACGGGCATCTTTGTCTTTGCCTTCATAGCTGCTGCTGCTGCTACTACAGCCTGCGCGAGGAGCTGCGTGGTCCGTGTGTGTACGGTACAATGATTCGCGTCTGTGAACCGCTATTAAAACGTAAATAACAATGTTTAAAGCACGGCAACGTCACAATGAAAGCTTAAGGCCCACGAGTAACATAAACAAATCGTTGCAAGTGCACCAATGTGAACGTGAGAGGGCGAGATATGATGGGTAGTCACCAGGCCTCGCCTCACGTCGGGGGACCACGGCCTCGCCTAGCGACTCCGGCCCAACGAGCCGGGCCTGAGATCCAGGCGAGCGCCGAGGCTGAGGCCTAAACAACCCCCTCACCAAGCTCCCAACATTGATCGTTAAAGAATTAATTATTGATTTTTATTAATTCTTTAACGATTAATTTTTGCAAGCGAACAAAATCTAATTGCTCATCAATGCGGCAAAGTCACGTAGGTAAAAAAAATCAATTTTTTATTTTGTTAATGTAATGAATGCGAGTGAGTGATGTATGGTGAATGTGGATATCCGTGTGTATCTTTACAGCACGGGCTGGTTACTGGGGAGACAAAGGCGGCCTTCATAGCTGCTGCTGCTACTCGCTAACAGCACTTGCCCCTACAGTCTGTCAAGGCTACACGGGGCATCTTTGTCTTTGTAAGCTACAGTGACGGCCTTCATAGCTGCTGCTGCTACTCGCTAACAGCACTTGCCCCTACAGTCTCTCTCTGCAGCCTGTTGAGTACATTGACAGCCGTGAGGCTGCGTGTTTCTCTCATCATCATGGTTTGCTAGGAGATGTTAACTACCTCGCCTGGTACGCAGGAGGTCGTGGGTTCTATCCCAACCCTGACGCTTCTACTGTCTGTTTGGAGTTTTGCGGTGTCTCTCTCCGTGGTCGCGTGAAATTTTCTCCACATTTATAGAATCAACGTCGCGCGTTTGGAGACTATTTGGATGCTCGACGTTTCCACGTGGTCATCATTGTGGGTTTTTTGCTTTTATCATTTTCAATTTGTTATCTTTTTAATTAAACATTTCTATGGACGTGACTTTACCGAAAGAACCAAGAATATAACTCAACTACACTTTTATATTACCAAGCTCAGGGCCCACTGAGTGTCTGTGGCTCTTTTTCACAAGTGACCTCACAGCAAGTTGGTTTCTTGCCCGTCTCTACATCGCCTGAAGGCGCGATAACCCACTTATGCCTGGACTTTCTCCCCCGTGGCTGACTTGATTTTTCAAGGAATTATTTTGTCGCTGGTAGTAGACCGGAGTAGGTATGCATGTGCTCATGTTTGCTGAACTTATTTTGCACCGTACGTAGCCAAGGAGTGCTCATCGGAGTCAGGACCATCGTGACAGGTGTAATGGATGATGATGATGATGCAACAGTGACGTCCACTGTAACACTAATGACGATCACACTCTCTCCGTCTCCACCACAGCATTCACCTGACCAAGTACTGAGACTAAAACGACTTCACCGTCTCCAGCAACGCCTTGGAGAAAGTCCTCGCCGGAGGGGTCAGAGGTCAGCGGTTCAGAGGTCACTCTGCCCGACTCCTCCGTCTCCTGCTGCCGACATCGCGCGTGGGTTCACGATGGCCAGCTGGAGACTGCTTCAAGCGCAGCTGCTGCTGCTGCTGCTGGGCGCAAGCGGTTGGCCTCGCGCAACCGGTACGAGGCTCTGTCTTGTTTTAAAAACTTTTGGCGTCATCTGGTCCAACCCATGTGAGACTAGGCTCTAAGGAAAGCTGTCTCGGGTGTGGACCAATCAACCTCAAGGACAGTGCACATTATCAGAGTTATGTTTTTTGTTTGCATTATGACTGCAGGTATTGTGGTCTATGCAAACATGACTCCTTGTAAAAAGGTGTCAGTTTTGTTGCCAGATAGAAGGGTAAAAAACCAATTATCATATTTTTACTGGCAAATGAGTTTCCCATAGTTTATTGAACCAGTTAAGGCGCCCACTGAGATTTTTATTATATATTATAGCTCTTTGTCAGAAGCGACCTGGTGATCGCAGGTTATAGCTCCACAAAGTGGCTTATTGGCACGTGCACATTTATAGTAGTGGCCAAATACTTTCATCATCATCGTCGTCATCGTCGCGAGACATAAACCGGAGGACCCGGAGAAAAACGAACGCGACCACGGGGAGGGAGACATGCAAACTTCATGTCTACAGCAGGCATCACGGTCAGGATTGAACCCATGAACCTCCTGCAAAGATAGCGACGGAGTGAGATGAGAAAAAAAAACTGATAGAGACGAGACAACAACGTAGTGAATTGAGAAGTGATGTGCATAAGAGAGGGGCGCCGTGGCGGTGAGATGTTGACCACCTCGCCTGGTACACAGGAGGTCGTGGGTTCGATCCCGACCCGGACACCTGCTGCTGTATATTTGGGGTTTGCGTGTCTCTCTCTCTCTCCGTGGTGAGATGTTAACAACCTCGCCTGGTATACAGGAGGCCGTGGGTTCGATCCCGACTCCTGATGCCTGCCGTATATTTGGAGTTTGCCTGTTCTCCCCGTGGTCACGTGGATTTTTCTCCAGGTCCTCCGGGTGTTCGCTGGACATTTAGAATCAACGTGCGTTTTAGAGTATTTGGCTGCTATAAATGTCCACACGATAAGCCACGTCGTTGAGCTGTATAGCTCGTTCTCTCTCTGGCAGGGCGAGCGATAGCCGTGCAGAGCGCTACAAGTTGAAATCGTTGCTACTGTTGGATTGCAATGGGGGTGTTTGGGTGCTCATCTCATTTGGACATCCTGGAAATCCCACATTGGCGGTGACACTTGTGCATCACAGCAAGCAGCGCCTGGGTTCAAATCCCGACTTGGGCACCTTTCTGCATGGAGTGTGTTGTTGTTGTTGTTTCCAAAGCACGTGCGTACTTTGAACTTCTTTGGCACCGTACGTAGCCCACCGTGCTCATCGGAGTTGTGGGGGAAGGACAACAAACGAAACACAAACTGAAACTTTGGATTCCACCACACAGCAGCAGCAGCAGCAGCGGTAGCAACATCGGCCACTACGGTGAAACCCTGGCAGGACCCTCCTGGACAATAACCCTTGAGACTCTGAGGCGTTTCCTTGGGTAAGCGGGCCAATCATAATAAAAATGATGATGATAACGATAACGACCTCTTGACCTTGTCCCAGAGGTCGTAACCGGGTACCCGATACCCAGCTACCCATACCCGGTCGGGTACGGGTACCCGTTTGCGACCCTGGTGCGGCCTGGTACGGGTACGGGTAGGCCGTGAGTCACTGGTGAGTCACCATTTGTCACTCATTTTCCAACGTCTTGTCTCTTCTCACATTTCAAGTTCCTAGATCAACCCACCCGCGCCTGCAACATGGCTTCATCCCAGAGGTCGCAATCGGGTACCCGATACCCGTACCTTACCCGTACCCAGCCGGGTACGGGTAGGGTACGGGTACAGCCGGGTACGGGTACGGGTATCGGGTACCCGATTGCGACCCTGGTGCGGCCGGGTACGGGTAAGGAATCAAAACCCGTTTGCGACCTCTGACACAGACCTACACACACCTACACACACCTAAACAGACCTACACACACACAGACTGACCTATACACACACGATAACGACCTCTTGACCTTGTCCACCTCCGCCTGTCCGTCCTGTCCGTCGCAGGCTCCGAGTCCCCGGTGCGGCGGGAGCTGTCGTGCGAGGGTCGCCCCGTCGACCTGCGCTGCCCGGGCAGCTACGTCATCGCTGTCAGCTCGGCCTTCTACGGCCGCACCGACGGACAGATCTGCGAGTCCGAGGCGGCCAAGATGCAGAACACGGCCTGCTTGCAGGTCGAGAGCTTCCACATCGTGGCTCGGAGGTGGGCGCCAGTGTCGGGAGCGTGTGTGTGTGTGTGCACGCGCGAGTGTCGTGAGCGCGTGTGTGCGTGTGCGCACGCGCAAGCGTGTGTGTGTGTGTGTGCGCACGCGCGCGAGCGTGTGTGTGTGTGTGAGCGTGCGTGTGTGTGTGTGTGCACGCGCGCGAGCGTGTGTGTGTGGGAGCGTGTGTGTGTGGGAGCGTGTGTGTGTGTGTGCACGCGCGCGAGCGTGTGTGTGTGTGTGAGCGTGTGTGTGTGTGCACGCGCGCGAGCGTGTGTGTGCACGCGCGCGAGCGTGTGTGTGTGTGTGGGAGCGTGTGTGTGTGTGTGTGCACGCGCGCGAGCGTGTGTGTGTGTGTGTGGGAGCGTGTGTGTGTGTGCACGCGCGCGAGCGTGTGTGTGTGTGTGTGTGGGAGCGGTTGTGTAGTTGGCACAGTAAGGGGAGGCACAGTAAGGGGAGGCACAGCCTCTCCCTGTGGTCGCATGGATTTTTCTCTGGCTACAAACGGTGCAAAAGAAAGTCTCCATACATACATAGAGACCCACAGACTCGGATAGAGACCCATAGACTCACACAGACACCCACAGCCTCAGATACCCATAGACTCGCATACATACACGTACATACCTCCAACACAGCATGCACACGTACAAACTCGGGGCACCGGCTACGTGTCACAGTGCGCTAACCCACTCGGCCACCGTCTATCCCTGCCCGCCCCCCCTCCCCCCAGTAAGAATCATAATAATTATAATGAATATGCCAGCCATTTGATAGCCACAAAGGGCCTGATTCTCATCATCACCCTCTCACAGGAGGATCCTGCACTGGGGATGCTTGGCCCAGCAGTGGCCGAGAGTCGCGGCACCGGTGTGTGTGTGTCTGTGTGTGTGTGTGTCTGTGTGTGTCTGTGTGTGTCTGTGTGTGTCTGTGTGTGTGTGTGTGTCTGTGTGGAGGGAGCGGCAGTGTAGCGGTTAGCGCGCTGCGCTATGAACCTGGTGAACCGGGTTCAATTCCCGCTCACGGCCAGCACCAGTGACGATTATCTGAAATGGTCCCGGGCCTCTCCTAGGTCGACTCAGCCTTGGTGCAATGTGTAAACATCGCCACTAGGGAGACAAAGGGCGTGGTGTTGGCCACCCACCCCCTCGTGTGCCGTGCTGGCCTTCATAGGTGCTGGCTAACAGCACTTGCCCCAACAGTCTGTTACAGGCTACACGGGGGATCTTTGTCTTTTGTTTTGTGTGGGCGGGGGGGTTAACGCGCGTGCTCGTTACCCCCCCTCCTCTTCCTCTCTACGCCGCTCCGCTCCCCCTGCCCCCCCCCGCAGGTGCAACAACAGGACGTGGTGCCACGTCGTCGCTGGCAACGAGCTGTTTGCGGACCCCTGTCCCGGGACGTACAAGTACCTGGAGGTTTGGTACAAGTGCGTCCCCTACAGTGAGTACTTGCGGAGCGCGCACACGCACACGCACACACACGCACGCACATGCACGCACACGCACGCACACACGCGCACGCACACACGCACACACACGCACGGACGCATACGCGGGCAAAGATCGCCCCCCCCGTAACGCCCTTTGACAGGCTGTCGGGGCAAGCACCGATGAAGGCTGGTACGGCACATGAGGGGGTGTGAGTGGCCAGCACCACGCCCGGCCGTCTTTGTCTCCCCAGTGCTAGCGATGTTTACGCACTGCACCAGGCAACCGAGGGGAGGCCCATGACGGGTTTAAACAATCGTCACTGATGTTGGGCGTGAGCACGAATTTAACTCGGGTTACCGGGTTCAAAGCTCAGCGTGCTAATCGCTTGCAGTCCACCACTGACCCGTACATTTTTTTGTTTGCACCTGCGGACTGGAAGATATTCGGTGTGATTACGAAACACACAAACATATGTACCACGCTTAGCTTGAGACACAGCTGATAAAACCAAAGAATTCAATTGTGTGCGCTCACCAAAAGTTATGCAGGTTGTAAATAAATATTTATTATGAAATCGAATCAACGCTTTCTTAACAGTTTTCGGCGTTAATTGACAGCATGGCGATTATGTGACATCGTCATTGCCTTGTTTCGTGTAATTGTTGACCGCATTTCTGGCGTAACTGTCAGCGCTGTGCGTTCATGAGCCTTATAGACTGCATTGATTACAATAGAACTAACACGCTAAATACGAGTACTACAACGTTATTGGAAATTCGTCCTATTGTGAAATTTGATGTCGTATCGTGAAAAAATATTTTGCGGCAATCCCAGTAACAACACCTTCGGTTGAAATTCGTTTAGGCTAGGCCTCAGCGCATCCTGGGAAACCCCACAATCCTCTGCATGCCCGCTGTTTCTGTGAAAAAGCTGAATGGCCTGTGTTCACGACGCTTTCATTTCAGCCAAGTGTTTAACCGACGTGCGACGATGAATCTGTCGATTTATGCCACACACAGTAAGCCCCCGATGCACATGCCACGTGTGTGTTTAAGAATCGCGATCGTTCCCTGTGGACATTCGGCTTCGTCAGGCTCTGCTGCGACACAGACGGCACCTATGTTGACACACACCCATCAGTACACGTGTCACGTGAGGTTATATCCGGGTCGTTGACGGATTACAACTCGTCACAATTATTGGCTCTACCGGTCCTGGTCCATAGCCAATGGGGGGAAGCCTAGGGGCGTGGCCCTGACGTGATGGGATGGTGACAGCTGTTTGTAGAGGATTGGTTCTGCTGGCTTTGGCCACAGCCAATGGGGGGACGAGTCAGGGGCGTGGTCCCAGGAGCCTACGATGGAGTCTGGAAGATTCCATGGAGGCTAACCAGGATTGGTGGAAAGGTACCACGTGACCCGGGTATTAAATAGGGGTGGAGACGAACGACACGTGGTCAGAACTGGAACGAACGGAGGAGGAGGCCACGCGAGAACGGGGGTCCAGGCTGCCACGTGGTCTAGGCTGCCACGTGGTCCAGGCTGCCACGTGGTCCAGGCTGCCACGTGGCAGTGTCTCTCTCTATCCCTCTCACGCTGCCTGTCAGCAGCGTGAAGGAATGCTGTAATGAAAAGTGAATAAAGACCGGATCCCAGAAGTCGCTTCAACGACCTCTATTACACACGCATGCAAACGGTGGCGAGATGTTAACTACCTCGCTTGCTATACAGGAGGTCATGGGTTCCATCCCGACCCTGACGCCTGCTGTATATTTAGAGTTTGCGTGTCTCTCTCTCATCATCATCACGGTGGCTAGGAGATGTTAACTACCTCGCCTGGTACGCAGGAGGTCGTGGGTTCGATCACCAACCTTGACACCTGCTCTATATTTGGAGTCTGCGTGTCTCATCATCATCATCACGGTGGCTAGGAGATGTTAACTACCTCGCCTGCTATACAGGAGGTCGTGGGTTGGATCCCGACCCTGACGCCTGCTGCTGTATATTTGGAGTTTGCATGTCTCTCTCTCATCATCATCACGGTGGCTAGGAGATGTTAACTACCTCGCCTGGTACGCAGGAGGTCGTGGGTTCGATCACCAACCTTGACACCTGCTCTATATTTGGAGTCTGCGTGTCTCATCATCATCATCACGGTGGCTAGGAGATGTTAACTACCTTGCCTGCTATACAGGAGGTCGTGGGTTCGATCCCGGCCCTGAGGCCTGTATACTTGGAAGCTTGCATGTTTTCCCCCTGCGGTCGTGTGGAGTGCTCTCCGGGTCCTCCAGTTTCCCCCTCCGCGTTTAGAATCGACGTCGCGCGTTTCGAGTACTCGGACACCGCTGTACATTTCCACGTGATAAGTCACTTTCGTTGAGCTGCCATTGTGTGCGGCGAGGTTGCTTCTGCAAAAGAGTTACGTAGCTCAGTGGGCCTTTTATAGTATATCGACTAGGGAGCAGCCGCGAATGATGCTTGACCCGACCGTCCGTCCATCCGTTCGTTCGTCTGTCCCCCGTTCCCCGTGGCAGTCTTCCCCTGCCCGGGCAGCATCCGCCTTGTTGACGAGGCCTTGCACCTCCTGCAGGCGAAGCAGAAGGCCGGCTCGTGGTGCCGCGACCCGCTGCGTGCCGACGACAAGGTGTACTTCATGCCGTGGTCGCCCCACCGCACCAAGAAGCTCGTGGAGTACGCCTCCCTCCAGGACATGGCGGCCGGGCTGCCGCTCACCAACTACCAGCTGCCGCACCGAGTGGACGGCACGGGCTTTGTGGTGTACGACGGAGCCGTGTTCTTCAACAAGGTCGGTGCCCGGCGCGGCGGAGAGATGTTGGCCACCTGATTTAGAATCCATGCACGTTTAGAGCGATTGGCTGCTGTTACGTCGCCACGTGATAAGCCACTTTGTGTGGTGAGCTGCAATTGCCAGGTCGTTGGCATACATAACGTGGTTGACCAATAGGGAGCCTAAATGTTTCTAACCGGCGAAGATGCTCCATTAGGGGGGTGCACGTTTTGCAAGCGTAGAGAAGGGAGGAAATTACCGTGGCCGAGAAGACCTGGAGCTTCATGCGGAGCGAGAGACCAGGTAGCTTCCACACAGCGTAATGCAGCCGATGAAAAGATAATGGCGCTCAACTGATTTGGAGTGAGACCTCTGCTGTTAAGCTGGAGCCGGTCATGAGCACACTGCCCAGGTATGGGAAACTCTCCACTCTCTCCACTACTGCCCCATCACCGATTGTGAGTTGTGGGAGTGGATTGTCCGATGGTACAAAATACCCAGGCAGGTGCTTAGTTTTGGTGGGGCTGATTATAAGTCCCCACCTCTTAGTGGCAAGTTCCAGGTTCAGCAGCAGTGCCTCCAACTCCACCTCTGAGTGAGCAGCAATCACCAGAGCATCGGCATACATAACATGGTTGACCAATAGGGGTCTATCCCTTGACCGCACCCGGGCATCGATCAGCCTCCCATTGTATCTGTACCAGATGGAAATTCCTCCGGTACAGCTATTGAAGGCTTCACGAACTACGTGGTCGAAATAGATGCTAAATCATGTTGGAGCCAGAGGACATCCCTGTCGCACCCAAAGGTGTACAGGGAATGGCTCTGACTCCTGGCCACGTAGTTTTACCCGGGCCCGCTCACCATCATGAAGGTCCTTAATGAGCGTGAGCAGAGGGTCAGGGACTCCGAAAGCACGAAGAACAACCCAGAGCCCAGGCCTACTGATGGTATCATAGGCCTTGACCAGGTCAATGAAGCAGAGATGTAGGTCTTGTTGGAATTCCCTACACTTCTGCTGTAGTAGACGGACAGAAAATATGGCATCTGTGTAGGACCGCCCTTTACTGAAACCACATTGGGGCTCCGCAAGCCTCTCCTCAGCGTGCCTAGCAAGGCGATGTTGAATAATCCTTGCCAAGACCTTTCCCGGCACACTGAGGAGTGAGATTCTCCTGTAGTTGTTACTGAGGAGTGAGATTCTCCTGTAGTTGTTACAGTCTGTGCGGTCCCCCTTCTGAAAAAAGGGGGACCACCAGGGCATCCTTCCAATCCTGCGGAACCCGTCCAGCGGTCCAGACTGTTGTTATGATGTCATATAGGGCAGTCACGCTCACACGCTCAGACACTCAAACACCTTCGCACCTTCACCTCCACTCTCCCTCACACACTGTGAGGAGCGTGCCCCCGCACTTCACTTGTGCTCATCAAAGACAAATATCCCCCGTAAAGCCTTCAACACACTGTTGGGGCAAGTGCTGTTAGCGAGCAGCACCTATGATGGCCGGCGCAGCGTACGAGGGGGTGCTGTGGCCAACACCACCACGCCCGGATCTTTCACGCTCACACCTTCACCCACTCACACACGCACACACTCCCACTCTCCTCTCCCCCCCTCTCACTCCCTTTCCTCTCCCGACCCCCTCTCCCCACCCCCTCTCCCTCACACACACACCCACCTCTCCGCCACACACACACACACGCTCACCTGACCTCCCCCTCGCAGGAGCGAACGCGCAGAATCGTCAAGTTCGACCTGGGCACGCGTGTCAAGAGCGGCGAGGCGGTCGTCCCCAACGCCAACTACTACGACACGTCGCCCTACCGCTGGGGCGGCAGGTCCGACATGGACCTGGCGGCCGACGAGAACGGCCTGTGGGTCATCTACGCCACGGAGCAGAACGAGGGGCGCGTGGTGGTGAGCCGCTTGAACCCGTACACGCTGCGCGTCGAGGCCTCCTTTGAGACGGCCTACGACAAACGCTCGGCCTCCGACGCCTTCATGGCGTGCGGCGTCCTCTACGTCCTGCGCTCGACCTACGAGGACGACGGCGACGGAGGGGCCAACGGCACCGGCGGAGGAGGAGGAGAGGGGGGGACGAGCGACCGCATCGACTACGTGTACGACACCAACTCGCGACGGGATGCGCGCGTCGCCATCCCGTTCCCCAACCCGTTCCAGTTCATCGCGTCGGTGCAGTACAACCCGCGCGACGGCGCCCTCTACGTGTGGGACAACCACCACGTGCTGCGCTACACGCTGCACTTCGGCACGCGGGATCCCACTGCAGGTGAGCGGAAGGGTGAGGCGGCGACGTGGGGGTGGGTTGGAGGAGTGGGGGGGGTGTAGAAGGGTGGGTGGTGGGGAGCGGTAGCGTAGCGGTGGGATTGCAGTCAAGAGTCCCGCTGTGTCTCGCAGTCCTACGGCGGTGTCGATGGAATTATCACAACAATAATAATGGTGGTGAGAATAAAAATAAATTTGCTTGCTCATGTCACTGCTGGTGGAAGGGATTCTACTCGAGGGAGCTCTAGAGAGGGTACTTGGCCTACTCTTCCACACTGGCCAGACTCCTTTGAGAGGCGGGAGTACGGGGACACACTTTGACCCAACATAGCGACCTACCCATCGAATACCAGGTGAGGTAGTTGACATCTCAACACGGAGAGAGAGAGAGACACGCAAACCCCAAATATACAACAGCAGGTGTCAGGTTCGGGACCGAACCCACGACTTCCTGTATACCAGGCGAGGTAGTTAACATCTCACCACGGAGAGAGATGTTCCATTAGAGCGGAGCACGATTTGCAAGCATAGAGAAGAGAGTTTAGTTGGTTGTCAACAGACACTCGCTATTGCATTCACATTCGTCACAACGACTCAAAAGTGATTTTCCTGCTCAGAAAGAGCGTTGAGGCATGTGCGCTCATCTCCCGCTTACAACCCTGAGCCAGCGGTGGGAATTCCACCTTCCTATGGCGGGGACAAGTCTATCGCACAGGACAGTGTAATTCCATTCAGAGTGAGTGATTAAATCCAGCTGCTCGTTCAAAACTGACCAGAGGGTAGGAATACCTTTTGAACCAGAGGTAGGACCCATCTGTGGCCTGTGGCTTCACTTCACAAGGCACACAGCCGCATGAGGCCAACTACAGACGATTGTTATCCATCGCCGTGGGCAGTTTTTCTTCGTGGCACTAATCGTTAAACGACGCAGCGCTCTCAAGTCGCTCCCATCACCGCCTCGTCTTGTTTTCTGTGTGCAGCAACTTCACTCAGGGTGACCTCGTAAGAGTAAAACTCTTAAATTGGGGCATGGGTTCGAAACCAACCCTGATGCCTGCTGTATATTTGGAGTTTGTGTGTTCTCTCTGGTCGTGTGGATTCTTCTTGCACTTGGTTGAGCTATCATTTGTGATATCCAGGTCGCTTCTGAAAAGGAACTACATAGCTCAGTGGGGCCTTACCTGGTAAAATAAAAAGTAGTTTAATAGTTTTGTTTAAATTCGGGGAAAAACCTTGCTCCACACCTTTTCAACATGACCACTTACAGTACGTTCGTTTCCTTACAACCTTGCAGTAACAGGATGGACTGAGGTGTTTGAAGTCCTGTTCGGCCCTCGGTGCGCGACAGATTCCCCAGTCATTCATTCCTCCCCACCCTCTCGTCTCCCCTCCTCGCCCCCCCGGCCACCGCCCCTCACCCAACTTTATCTGGAATGTTCTGGAAAATAGGTAAATTTAAAAATACCACTGTCCTGGTCACAAAAGCAAAGTTTGTTGGGAATAATAGCCATTTTCTGTACTTTTAGGCAGAAGCAATTAGGAAATATCGCTTACTACCCAGGAACAAAAACGAATTGTTACACAGTGTTATCAGAGCACGTTTATTTGCATGTTTAGCACAAGTACCGTGGGTGATTGTTGCAGACTTGATTCCTTGCAAAAGGCATCGTCTATTTGGGGTTTCAACATCTGAACACCTCCTGTTTGATTGCAAGAAAGGGGTGAAACCTGTTCTTGTTTTTCACACAGTGACCGACTTTGTTCGATGGTAGTGATCGGGGCAGTATGTGTGCGTACGTTGGAACTTTCTTCCGCGCCCTACGTAGCCGACTGCATTAATCGGAGGTGCGTCAGGAGTCCTCCTTGTAGCCCCCCCCCCCCCCCCCACGGGTCGAACTATGAGGCGGCACAAACTTTGAACTCTTCGGGACACCGGGGATGCCCTTCCTGAAACCGGGAACCTTCGTCAACGGTTACTCACCGGTGACTCACGGCCTACCCGTACCGTACCCGAAATGAGTGACAAACGGTTACTCACCAGTGACTCACGGCCTACCCGTACCCGTACCTGGCCGCACCAGGGTTGCAAACGGCTACCCGTACCCGTACCCGGCCGGGTACGAGTAGCCGGGTATCGGGTAGGGTACGGGTATCGGGTACCCGGTTGCGACCTCTGACGTTCGTCCAATCCAGGACATTTGGGAGCTCTGTGCCGCTGCTCTTGGGTTGTGAATGTTTGTGCGTTGAACTGTTTTCGCGCCGCACGTAGCCAACCGTCGATTGTGTAAATGTCAGTTGGTCGCGCCCGTGTCCTCAATATGGCCGTTGTTCTTTGTGTTACCCACAATGCAGTGCACGAGATTTCGACGATAGGGCCTTCCAGCGGAGGCAGCACCGCAAGTCCTCCGCGTAGCCACGTGGCAATGGTGCCGCCCATCCCTACGCAACTGCCTCAGGTAACGGTGGTGGTGGTGGTAGCAGCAATAGTGTTGGCAGTAGTGGCGGTGGTGGTGATGATGGTGGGGAGCAGTGGTGTAGCGGCTAGCGCTACGCTGCGCTACGAACCCGGCGACCCGAGTTTGATTCCCGCTCACGGCCAACACCGCTAGCGATTATTTGAACCGGTCCCAGGACTCCTCTCCTAGGTCGAATCAGCCTCAAATAAGTACCTGGCGCGGAGTGTAAGAACATGGTAGTGGTGGCGAGCGGTGGCGTGGTGGTTGGCGCACTGCACCTCCGATCGGCACGGTTGGCTCCGTACGGTGCGAAAGAGGTTCAACTTACAACACTTGCGCTCGACTCTTCAATGCCGCGTCTCCACCGCAGGACACGACCGACGTGACACCGGGAGACGTGGCGCCCGCTGACGGTGGCCAGGGCAGCACCAGCGTGCCCACATCCTGTCCCCCCACGCTCGCCCACGCCGTCCAGTGGCCCCAGCTGCTGCGGGGCAAGACGGCCGAGAGGCCCTGTCCTGCAGGCGCCGTCGGTGAGTCTGCCCGCCTGCCGCCTCCGCCCATCTCCCTCCGTCTCCCTCCGTCTCCGAGTCTCTGTCTGTTTTTCTATCTGTGTCTCTATCTCTCACATCTCCCTCTGTGTCCGTGTCTCTGTCTCCCACATCTTCCTCTGTGTCAGTGTCTCTATCTGCGTGTGTGTTTCTCTCACGTCTCCCGATGGCTGTAGCTCCATCTTTCTTTCTATTTGTCTGTGTCTGTGTGTGTGTGTCTGTGTGTGTGTGTGTCTGTGTGTGTGTGTGTCTGTGTGTGTCTGTGTTAGTCTGTGTGTGTGTGTCTGTGTGTGTCTGTGTGTGTCTGTGTGTGTGTGTCACTTTTTCTGCCCCCTGTCCCCTCGGTTTCCATTTTTGTGTCTCATGCTCTTATGTCTGTAGACCTCTCTCTGCCTATCTGTTTTTCTCTGTCACCCTCTCTCTGTATTTTTATCTCTTTGTGCCTCTTTGTCTCTCTCTCTCCGGTTGTCTATCTCCTGCTGTCTCAGTCTCTCTTTCTGTATCCCCCCCCCCTACCCGCCCCCCTTTGTCTCGCTGTCTCAGTCTGTGTCGGCCTACACCAGAGACAGCAGCCTTCTTTCTAAAGCTCCCACCTATAGTCAGACTCATCCCCACCAGAGATGAGCCCAATGATGGTGGTGTCGTCCGCAAACTTCAAGAGTTTGACGGAGGGGTGACTGGAGGTGCAGCTGTTGGTGTACAGGGTGAAGAGCACAGGGGGAAGGACGCAGCCCTGAGGAGATCCGGTGCTGATGGACCGGGAGTCAGAGACTTGTGATCCCAGTTTGACACACTGCTTCCTGTCAGACAGGAGGTCTGTGATCTACCTGCAGGTGGAGTCGGGCACATTCAGCAGGGAGAGCTTGTCCTGAAGCAGGGCAGGGATGATGGTGGAGTCCAGGTGCTGTAGGGTGAAGTGGAGGGCCATGTTAACTGCGTCGTCCACAGACCTGTTGGCTCTGTAGGCAAACTGCAGGAGAGGGTCTGTGATGGCTTTGAGGTGTGCCAGCACCAGGCGCTCAAAAGACTTCATTACCACAGAGGTTAGGGCGACGGATCCGTAATCATTAAGTCCTGTTGGCCTTGGCTTTTTGGGCACAGGCATGATGGTGCAGGACTTGAGACAGGCTGGTACATGGCATGTCTCCAGTGAGGTGTTGAAGATGTTGGTGAACACCAGAGACAGCTGGTCAGCGCAGTGCTTGAGGGTCGCTGGAGAGACAGAGTCTGGCCCAGCTGCTTTGCGGGGGTTCTGCCGCTTGAAAAGTCTGTTCACCTCTCCCTCCTGAATTGAGAGAGTCATCTCTGTAGTGGGGGGGGGGGAGGCCTCTTGGGTGGCAAGGGGTAGTTCAGGACAGTCCAATTGTCTTTCAAATCTGCAGTAGAACTCGTTCAGGTCGTTGGTCAGGCGAGAGTCGTTAGTGGTGTGCGGGGCTCTGGGCTTGTAGTTGGTAATCTGCCTGAGCCCTCTCCAGACAGAAGCAGAGTCGTTAGCAGAGAACTGATGTTTTAGTCTCTCTGAGTAGAGTCGTTTAGCCTCTCTCACCGCCTTGCCAAACCTGTTCTTCGACTCTTTGAATCTGTCTCTATCCCCACTCCTGAACGCTTCCTCCTTCTCCAACCTCAACCTTCTGAGCTTTGCTGAGAACCAGGGCCTGTTGTTGTTGAAGTTCACCTTGGTGCGTGTTGGAATACAGCAGTCCTCACAGAAGCTGATGTACGACGTCACAGCCTCTGTGAGTTCATCCAGGCTATTGGTACCAGTCGTGAACATATCCCAGTCAGTATAGTCCAAGCACGCCCGCAGATCACAGCAGGTCTACAGAGCTTTAGTTTCTGCCTGTATGCAGGAATCAGGTGGACCAAGGCATGGTCAGAGTGTCCCAGTGCTGCTCGGGGGACGGCGTGGTAGCCTCTACTGACTGTAGTGTAGCAGTGATCCAGGGGTTGGACCAGATGGCGTCATCTTCGAGAGAGAAGGAGGAAGGAGGTTGGGGTGGAGACGGAGCGTGGTACCTTCGGGAGAGAGGGAGGAAGGAGGGAGATGTGGACGGGAGCTAGCGAGGGGTCGTGTCGGGTAGAACTGTGGAGAGAGGAAGAAAGAATAAACGGCGAGCAGCCCTGAGCGAAGACCTGGTCTCCGCGTGGATCTAAATACCCGGGGTGTCCAGCATGAAGACTCTACAATTGGTGTCGGAAGTTTCCGTCGAACCTTCGCAACAGGGACATAAACATTAGCTGGCATCGTGTCAAAAGCGACTGCTAAGAGGAAGAACGTACCAGCGGTGCTATCGGACGAAGACGACGCCATCGATGGAGTCGGGGACACTGGAGATGCGGCCCTCTGCGCCGCTGCTGACAGCGCAGGAGGCGGCCGGTGGTGCTCTCCAGATGCCGCCACCGCCTGAGGGCCAGCGGGAGGTCGCCGTCCAAATCGCCCAGCTCGGCGAACTCGGCCAGCTGCTCGCATCGGCCACACCGTCGCTGGACGCTCAACTCTGGACTGGTTGTCGGGGTTCTGGCAGCTGCCGTTGGATGAGGACTCGAAGCTCAAAACTGCTTTCCGCACACCCTAGGGCCGTTTCCATTTTAACTGCCTGCCGATGGGTCTCCATTCCGCCCCGGCCACCTTTCAGCGTCTTATGGAGATGGTCTTAGCGGGTCTTCAATGGGACTCGTGCCTCACATACTTGGATGATGTCATCGTTTTCAGCCGGACGTTCGAGGGACACCTACAACAGTTGCGGTCGGTCTTCATTAAGGTGCGGGCCGCTAACCTCAATGTTAAGCCCCGAAAATGCCATTCCCTGCAATCGTCGGTTAAGTGCTTGGGTCACGTCGTGAGCCCATCAGGGGTGGCTACCGATCCCAACAAAACTGAGTGCGTGCGCGCGTGGCCGACCCCTAAGTCTGTGGCGAGGGCTCCGTTATTGACCCTCCTGTACGGTCCTCCTCATTCAGTGGGATGCAGAATCCCAGAGGTATTGTGTCGTCTTGCCCACGGTCCTCCGCGGGAAGCTTACCCGGGTTGTTCACGGTAAAGTGATGCACTTGGGGTTTCGGAAGACGTTCACTATTACACGTGACTGCTATTGGCCGGGTGTGGAGGATGACGTGGCACTTTTGGTTAAAGGTTGCAAGGACTGCCCGTCGTAAGCCGCCGGTTCGGCAGGATCTGTCCCCGCTGCAGACGGGTCAACGGGCTTTCGACATCCTGGGCCCCTTCCCGGTTTCAAAAAGGGGACATAACTATCTCCTGGTCGGGGTTGAGTATCTCACCCGTTGGCCTATGGCGTGGGCCTTGCCGGATCAGTTGGCCGCGTCCGTAGCCGATGCCTTTGTGCGTGACTACGTGTTGGACAAGGGAGCCCCCCCGAGCAACTCTTGACTGACCAGGGCCGAAATTTTTCCTCCAGGTTGCTCAAGGAGGTCTGCCACCTTCTGGGCACGGGGGAAATCAGGACGTCACCCTACCACCCTCAAACTAATGGGATGGTAGAGCGATTGCATCACACCCTTACGTCTATGCTATGTCACCAGGTGGACACGTCCCAGTCTGATTGGGACCTGCACGTCCCAGGGATCTTCACGGCGTACCGGTTGGCACCTCGTACCTCCACGGGATTCTCCCCCTTTTTTTTACGTACGGGAGGGAACTGGAGTCCCCGATGCACGTCCAATTGGGCTTTGGCCAGAGGTCGCAAACGGGTTTTGATTCCTTACACGTACCCGTACCCGGCCGCACCAGGGTCGCAAATGGGTACCCGTACCCAGTTGGGTACGGGTAGCCGGGTATCGGGTAGGGTGTCGGGTACCCGGTTGCGACCTCTGGCTTTGGCTCATCCGGTGAAGGATCCGCGATGCCTGCCCCCATGTGGGTTGCGTCTCGACAGGTTGCGGGAGGCCCCGGAAAGTAATTCGCCAGCCGGCAAGCAGCAAGTGAGAGGCTGACGGTGCCCCGGGGGTCCGGAGGTTGGTTCAAGGTTCAAAGTTCAAAGTTCATTTATTAGGTATAGCCCTGTGAGCCATTCGGCTCTTAAATCGGTGATAAGGCCTGGCTGCATTGCCCGCAGGTGCCCCTGGGGACGTCCCGTAAACTATATCGGCCATGGCAGGGTCCAGTGGAGGTTTTCGAGGTCTGGAGACCGTAGTGCGTGCGCATCTGATTCGGCCAGCGCCGTCGGATTGTGCAGCCCTCTCGGTTGAAGAGGTATGTGCCTTGATAATAGGATTTTTTCTGGCTACAAGACTGAAACCTTTTTGCAAGGAATCATGTCCGCATTAACCACAATACTGGTGTTCAAAATGCAAGCAAAAAACACACTGATAATATATGCATTGTTCTTGAAACTGATTGGTCCACACCAAGCCGTCTCTGGTGTGGACCAGTCAGTTTCAAGGACAATGCATATATTATCAGTGTGTTTTTTGTTGCATTTTTACCACAAGTCTTGCGGTTAATGCGGACATGATTCCTCGTAAAAAGGTTTCAGTTTTGTTGCCAGAAAAAAAGGGGGGAAAACCCTGTTACTATATTTTGGTTCTGGTGTTGAGGTGCAAATGACGACACGGAGGCAGGTCTTCTTGTAAGGGCTTCTGCCGGTTTATTAATAGGGGTTGTTGATAACTTCCACCAGGGGTAGGTGCCCTACACTGGGTCCGTCTGTCCCTAGCTCGGATAGCTCTTGGGCTCTCTGCCTCGAGTCGGATCGGGGGATCAGCCAACACCGACCGACCGGGGAGAGCAGCACCTTCCACAACTTGAGCCGCCTTCTCTCCAGACTCCCTGAGCGCTTCCCCCGGCTGTCTCTTCAACCTCTCTCCATCCCGGGCTCCCACGGGGTCCCCCTTAAGTACCACGAGGAGACATGGCGTCATCGCACCGCCCAGCGCGCACGACGTCACATCCCGATATTACTCCTCTACACCGGCAAAAGAGATCTGATGAGATACGTGCCTTGTTCCGCTGAATCATCCCCTGATGTGTCCGACGAGCCGGGTCGCGGGTGTCGTGAGGCAGTGCGTCAGGGTGCATCTTCTCCGTGCTCCACCCGCAGGATCGCAGGATCACAGCACCTAGTCCCCACGGACACGCCTGCGCCCCTACCCAGGGGGGAGCGGTCTCGCCGCACCGAAACGCCACCGCAGGACCAGGCTCCGACTCCAGGAGGCGGACCAGCCTCGGGGACGAGGCCCAGGAGTGGCTTGTTCTGTTGAGCACCCTTCCTGCACCCTCCGCACGACGGGTCATGGAGTGGGGGGCCTCTGCACGGGCCATCTGGTCCCTTGTGGTTATCCTACCTTCTTGTGCTCCGCGTTATTGTTCTGCTTGTTGTGTTGTTGGCTGCTGGTCGTAGGGGTCGCTCGAAAAATGTTATTTCATTTTTTTTTCTCCCCCTCTTCTCTGACATCACGTTGGCAGCCGGGACGGCTGATTTTTCTTCACGGGGGGGGGGGTGATGTAGTGGAGCACCGCGGAGACCCAACGAGGGGCGAGCACGGGAAGAGGGACGGAAAACGAAGAGCCGGGGAGAGAGCGGGAGGCGAGGAGAGAGAGGAGGAGAGAGAGGGGGGGAGAGGAGAGTGGGAGTGTGTGCGTGTGTGAGTGGGTGAAGGTGTGAGCGTGAAAGATCCGGGCGTGGTGGTGTTGGCCACAGCACCCCCTCGTACGCTGCGCCGGCCATCATAGGTGCTGCTCGCTAACAGCACTTGCCCCAACAGTGTGTTGAAGGCTTTACGGGGGATCTTTGTCTTTGATGAGCACAAGTGAAGTGCGTGGGGGTGCTCCTCACAGTGTGTGAGGGAGAGTGGAGGTGAAAGTGCGAAGGTGTTTGAGTGTCTGAGCGTGTGAGCGTGTGTGTATGTGTATGGCTGCTTTGGGTACGTGGTCCAGACCTCCCCAGAGACCCTGGCCGACAGAGGAGGTGTTCAGGATGGTTGAGAAAAAGTAGCTTCGGGAGAGAGGGAGGAAGGAGGGAGGCGTGGACGGGAGCTCACGTGGGGTCGCGTCGGGTGGAAGTGTGGAGAGAGGAAGAAAATAAACGGCGAGCAGCCCTGAGCAAAGACCTGGTCTCCGTGTGAATCTAAATACCCGGTGTCTCCAGGAGGAAGACCCTACATGTGTATTATTTAATAACTAGACCCAATCACCGTACCCAATCAGGTGCAGAAATCAGAGGTGGCGGAGGTGGGGGAGGGGTTATTGTAATGATATACTACGTTAGTAATCAGTTAATTAGTATGTGTTTCCCCCTATAAGGAATTGTAATTGTAATCTATATATAAAAGGGAAATTTGTGAATATGTGTGTCTGTTCAAAAGTTTAGCGTACTTCCCGACATGCAACAAACTTGAAATTTGCCATGTGGGTACATTCCAGACTGTACACCATGAACAAATGATAAAAATAGACTTTTGTATTTTTTTTGGTGAGGGGGGGGGGCGCAATAATGCAGAGATTTTGCACGGCAATTGAGCTGTGACGTCACATCTCTGTCATGTGACCCGTATGTGGAAGCGTCACGCAGTGTGCCTGCTCATGTCACGCACCCCCCCCCCCAATCCTCCGCGGGGAAAGTAAAACACAAATGTGTTGCAGGTCTAAGGCGTTCTTCGCGCAGCATTGGTTTAATATTTGAGTCGTTTACTGCCGTACGCAAAGTTGTGTGTGTCTGCAGCAAGCGCGTGTGTGTGTGTGTGGAGCGGTAGTGTAGTGGTTAGCGCGCTGCGCTACGAACCCGGTGACCCGAGTTCGATTCCTACTCTGCCACCACCTGTGACGATTATTTTAACCGGTCCTGGGCCTCCCCTAGGTCGACTCGGCCTCAAACGAGTAACATGTGTGGTATTCTTTGGTTCTTTCCAAAATTAGCTCCAAAATTAAGATTGAACATGTGTGGTGTGTGAACATCGCCACTGGGGAGACAAAGGTGGTGATTTATTTTGTGTTCTTTTAGTCTTACGCTGATGTTTCGTCCCGTCTGTCCAGTATAGCATCTGCCACATAAACAATTAATCCGATATGCAACTTCTGTTAGTAATTTACTAATTAACAGATTACTAACGTAGTATATAATTACAATAACACCCTCCCCCACCTCCGCCACCACTTATTTCTGTACCTGATTGGGTATGGTGATTTGGTTCAGTTATTAAACAATACACATTACAACTCCTTATAGAGGAATCATAACAATTGACTGATTACTCATCTAGTATATAATTACAATAACCCCCCCCTCCGCCTCAAATCACTGCACCTGAATGGGTTAAATGATGACGTCATCCTGCTGCTGCTACTCTATTTAAGTCAAGTGGAGGGCTTCACAATTCTGCTGGATGATGTAATTACCAGCGAAACGTCGTGCTACTCAATTGTAAATGTTGTGGATTCACTCTTCAACACACCGGTGGGCTAAAGTAGTGAACTATTTATTTTTTGTCAACGTGTATGAATATGGGTCGCGAAAGCCTGCTACGTGTCATTGTATCATATCGTAGCTATAATAATAATAATAATGTACAGGCCTTTCTCAATCCACTGCTGGATGAACAACTCCCATGACCGACACACTTTGTTGGTTTGACCATACTTCACCACGCTGGTCAGTGGACATTGGTGAAGGTTGGTAGTCACCCATTGCCAGTTTATATATCACTCCGGACCAGATGATCGCTGCGCGTGCGTGATAACCGATTGCCACGCAGAATCATCTTTCGAAATCGGGAGTCTCTGTTCATCCCGGAGAAAATCCGATGGGCCACGGAGCTCTTTTGCACAAACGGCTTCAAGCAGGCCGCCTTTGGCGAGCGCTTATCAAGGCTGACACGGCGCGCTAACCGCTGTGCCGCCGCTCCCGTGGTCTAGACGTTCACTACCTCGCCTGGTAGTCATGGGTTCGATCCCAACCCTGGCGCGCGTGGATTTGACGCTTGCATGTTTCACTCCCCGTGGTCGCGTGGATTTTTCTCCGGGTCCTCCGGTTTTTCCCTCCACATTTAGAATCGACGCCGCTACGCGTTTAGAGTGTTTGGCCGCCGCTATGGATTTCCGCGCGATAATCCACTTCGTTGAGCTATCACTTGTTACCAGGTTACTTCTGGACAAAGAGCTACACAGCTCAGTGGGCACCCGCTAAACTAATGTTTGTGTTTAGCAGCTTAATAGTAACACGGTGCGCTTCGTAAACAACATCGCCGAAGACACGAAGGCGGCCGGCCGTGGTGGATGGCCACCTACCCCATCGCGTGCCGCGCCGTCTCTCATAGGCGCTCGCTAACAGCACTTGGCCCAGCAACGTCTGTCCACACGGGGGATCTTTGTCTTTGTGTGCGCACGCATCAGGCACGGCGCTCTACACCTGCGATGCCATCACAGGAGCCTGGTCTGCACGAGGTCCCGATTTAAGCAACTGCACTTCCACCTGGGTGAACCAAATCGCGCAATGGGTAAGCCATCACCCCCCTGCCTCCCTCCTTCTCCCTTCCCCCGTGTGAGATATTAATCGAATCGTCGCAATGCCCGCAACCCCACCTCGCCCACGCACGTCAACTCGTCTCGTCCGCTCCGTCTGCGCGGCACTCCTCGCCCGCCTCGTCCATCATCGCCTTCACCCGGCTGTCGCTCATCTTATTTAATTTATTGTTTTATCTTTATACGTGACTTTACCGAAAGACTGAAGTCCTGTACCAACCTGCTCCTGGGAAACCCTACACTGAGCCCGCCATGTTTGTGAATGGGCAAAAGCTTTCAGCCGTTGACAAGTTTACTTACCTTGGTAGTACTCTGTCTCGCGCTGTGAACACAGATGATGAAGTTAACATCAGGATTGTCAAGGCCAGTGCAGCCTTTGGGCGTCTACGTGACACGGTATGGGAAAGGGCTGGCATCAAGCAGGAGACAAAACTGAAGGTCTACCGGGCTGTTGTCTTACCAACTCTTCTGTATGGGTGCGAAGCCTGGACAGTCTACCAGCGCCATGCCAAGAAATTGAATCATCTCCACTTGAGCTGTCTGAGGAAACTGCTGAGGATCAAGTGGCAAGACAGAATCCCTGACACAGAAGTCCTCAGCAAGGCCAATATCCCCAGCATCCACACCGTGCTTGAATGACGAAATGGTCACCGTCCTCCTCCTCCCCGTACCCCCCCCCCCCCAGACGTCTGACCACTTCAGCCGCAGCTGCTGCTTCTGGAACTGCTCATCTCACACCACGAGGGGCGACTGGTGGAGCTACGGCTGCGACAGCACGCACACCGACAGCACGTATACCGACAGCACGCACACCGACAGCACGCACACCGACAGCACGCACACCGACAGCACGCACACCGACAGCACGCACACCGACAGCACGCACACCGACAGCACGCACACCGACAGCACGCACACCACCTGCTCCTGCAGCCACCTCAACAACTTCGCTGTGCTCATGGCGAGGAGCGACGTGGAGGTGCGGGGAGATTCGGGAGGTGATGGTGGTGATGTTGGTGGTGGTCAAGTTTGGATGAGGTGGTGGTGGTGAGTGTGGTGAGGGTGGTGATTGGAGGTGATGATGGTGATGTTGGTGGTAAAGAGGTGGTGGTGAGTGTGGTGAGGTTGGTGATTGGAGGTGATGGTGGTGATGTTGGTGGTGGTCAAGTTTGGATGAGGTGGTGTTGACACCCGCCCACACAAAACAAAGATCCCCCGTGTTGCCTGTAACAGACTGTAGGGGCAAGTGCTGTTAGCCAGCACCTATTAAGGCCAGCACGGCACACGAGGGGGTGGGTGGCCAACACCACGCCCTTTGTCTCCCTAGTGGCGATGTTGATTTGATAGTGGTAATGTTTATGTTGTGGGGGAGCGGTGGCCCAGCGGTTAGGGCGCTGCGCTACTCACGACCACCAACTAATTATCTCAATCGATTCGGCCTCAAGTGAGTGACTGTTGCGGTGTGTCAACATCGTGCCACTTGGGAGACAAAGGCAGCCGGGCGTGGTGCTGGCCACCCACCCCCTCGTGTGCTGTGCCAGCCTTCATAGGTGCTACTCGCTAACAGCACTTGCCCCGCCAGTCTGCTAAGGCTACACGGGTAATCTTAGTATCTTGTGTGTGTGTGTGTGCGTGTGTGCGAGTGCGTGTGTATGTGTGTGTGAGTGCGTGCGTGTGTGTGTGTGAGTGCGTGTGAGTGTGTGAGTGCGTGTGTGTGCGTGTGCGTGTGTGTGTGTGAGTGCGTGTGTGTGAGTGCGTGTGAGTGTGTGAGTGCGTGTGAGTGTGTGTGAGTGCGTGTGTGAATGTAATGGGGAGCGGTAGTGTAGCGGTTAGCGCGCTGCGCTATGTACCTGGCGACCCGGGTTCGATTCCCGCTCACGGCTAACACCAGTGACGATTATCTAAACCGGTCCCGGGCCTCCCCTAGGTCAACTCAGCCTTAAATGAGTACAGTCTGTTAAGGTCTATACGGAGGGGGGGATCTTTGTCTTTGTCACTTGTCCACCTTTTTAGATCTAAATCTCAATTGACAACTGTCTTTAAGAACCTGTTCACGTTTAGTTTGCTGTCCTTCCCCCGCACCTCCCGTGAGCACGGTCGGCTTCGCACTTGGCGAAAGAAGTCCCTGATGCGTGCGTACACCTGCCCACGCGCCCTCACGCCTCCCCCGTGTGTCCCGTGCCTGCGTCCCGTGCCTGCGTCCCGTGCCGCCAGTACGGGCACCGCGCCCACGAGCTGCTGCTGCTGGTGATCACGTGGGCGGGCGTGCTGGTGTCGCTCGTGTGCCTCGCCGTGGCCACCTTCACCTTCTGCTTCTTCAGCGGCCTCCAGAGTGACCGCAACACCGTCCACAAGAACCTGTGCCTCAGCCTGCTGCTTGCCCAGCTGCTGTTCCTTGTGGGCATCAACAAGACTCAGTACACGGTGCGCCCACCCGCTCGCCCGCCCACTCGCCCGTTCTCTCACCCACTCGATCTACCTCTTTCTGTCTCCGTGTGTCTCGCCCGCTCAACCACCCGTCTTCTCGCACTGGCGCTCTTTCATCCGCTCACGCACTCACGCAGCCACCCACTCACTCACACGCTAACCCACCCACTCACACGCTAACCCACCCACTCACACGCTAACCCACCCACTCGCTCACGTACCCACCCACTCACATGCCTCGTGTTGTTTCGCTGACCCCCGTGACCCCCCGACCGGTGGACATCTGTCATCAAACAGCTTCTTGGCTCATCGGATTTCTCCCTCCACGTCCGAACAAAGACTCACATTCTGCGTAACGCCAACTCCACAGGTGGCGTGCTCCGTGCTGGCGGCGCTGCTGCACCTGCTGTTCCTGGCGGCGTTTGCGTGGATGTTCCTGGAGGGGCTGCAGCTCTACCTCATGCTGGTGGAGGTGTTCGAGGGGCGCCGCTCGCGCCGCAAGTGCTTCTACCTGCTGGGCTACGGCCTGCCGCTCGCCCTCGTCGCCGCCTCCCTCGCCGTCGACTACACGGGCTACGGCACCGAGCGCGCGTCAGTCACCGCGCCCTCCCGTCAACCCTCTTCGCCGCCCGCTGGCGCCCGGGGCTTGCTAACCGGAGCTCGGCGTTGCCGGTTCACACCTGGTGTTGACACCTGACACCCGGGGCTTGCTAACCGGAGCTCAGTGTTGCCAGTTCACACCTGGTGTTGACACCTGACACCCGGGGCTTGCTAACTGGAGCTCAGTGTTGCCAGTTCACACCTGGTGTTGACACCTGGCGCCCGGGGCTTGCTAACCGGAGCTCGGTGTTGCCAGTTCACACCTGGTGTTGACACCTGGCGCCTCGGGCTTGCTAACCGGATCTCGGTGTTGCCGGTTCATACCTGGTGTTGACACCTGGCGCCCGGGGCTTGCTAACCGGAGCTCGGTGTTGCCAATTCACACCTGGTGTTGACACCTGGCGCCCCGGGCTTGCTAACCGGATCTCGGTGTTGCCGGTTCATACCTGGTGTTGACACCTGGCGCCCGGGGCTTGCTAACCGGAGCTCGGTGTTGCCAGTTCACACCTGGTGTTGACACCTGACACCCGGGGCTTGCTAACCGGAGCTCGGCGTTGCCGGTTCACACCTGGTGTTGACACCTGACGCCCGGGGCTTGTTAACCAGAGCTCGGTGTTGCCGGTTCACACCTGGTGTTGACACCTGACACCTGGGCTTACTAACCGGAGCACGGTGTTGCCGGCTGGCGCCCGGTCTCACCAGATGTAGGGAATGTCCTCACATACAACAAATGTCACAAATCTCCCCCAATGTTACCAGAAGGGGCCTCAAGCGCTACTGAACGGTGGCAAATGTTACCAGATGCTGGCGAGTGAAACCAGACACGTGAATGCGCGATCCCGGCCTGTCAGGCTAACCGGGCGATCGTTTGTCCTCTCTTGCAGCTGTTGGCTCAGGACTGACAATCATTTCATCTGGAGTTTCCTTGCGCCCGTGGCCACCATCATCCTCGTGAGTACCGTGCGTGCGCGTTGTGCCGGGGGACGGGAGGTGCGGCGTCGTTCTCCCGCCAGCGAGACGTGTCGCTGTGTCTGCTGCTCGACGTACGCATCTGCGAGAGGTCCCGTGCTGAATCTGATGCGATTCCCACGTTCGTATTGGGCGTGAATTCCCGAAATCGTCTCGTGACAAAAGCCCGTCCAGTTCTAAAGTCCAAATTGCAGGCAAGCACCTCTGATTGCCACACCGACGCCAGTATATACGTACGTGTGTTGAACTTCTTTTCCACCGTACAGTAGAACCTCTGGTCACGACCATAATTCATTCCATAACTTTGGTCGCAACCCGGTTTGGTCGTGACTTGAACCTAACTTCCCTATTGGATTGTATGTAAATACGATTAATCCGTTCCAGACTCCTACAAACTGTATATAAATATAGTTTTTTTTAAAGATCTTTAAGCACAAAAATAGTTAATTATGCCATAGAATTCAGAGTGTAATAGTAAACTAAATGTAACAACATTGAATAACACTGAGAAGACCTTGAAAAACAGAGTAAACTAACATTGCCGCGTCAAGGTTTAGAATCGTTCAACCAGATGATTGTTTCGTCTGCTACATCAGTCGGTCGATTCTGAGAGAGAGAGAGAGAATATTCGTACGAGCAATTCATGTTTACATTGAAAGTAAGTTAACAGTAATATTTGGGTACAGTATTGTTTTTGGAAGCATTCACCGTAATATCGTATGAACGTTTACTTCACCGCATCATCGTATGAATGATGCGAGAAGAGAATAACGGGTTCTTATGTTAGCGATTTACGTACTCAGCGCTTTCGCTCTCTAAATTACGGCTTGAATGAGGGGGGAGGGGTATGACTACACTCACAAAATTAATATCTTACTAAGCGAGACTGACTGAGCAAGTGGCCACACGTGGGTCGCTGTTGTTTGCAAACAAACGACAGGAAATTTGGCGCTTACAAAAAAAAAGGCGCGGAAGGGGAAATCGGCCGCGGCCATGTTTGATCGCCACGAAAAATAGTTCACGTAATCTAACCCTAAAAGAAACGTCTTGTGGACTCGTTGACTCGTGTGTACGCGTGGTGCGCGTGTGTTGTCACAGGTGAACTCCGTGTTCCTGCTGATGACTGTGTACAAGATGGTGCAGCATTCGGCGCCACTCACGCTCGAGAACATCAAGTGAGTGGGGTGGCCGCCGGGTGTGGGGGGGGGTGTGGCTAGGGGGGGGGGGGGTTGGGGTTGGGGGGGGGTTCATCACTTGAAGCGACCGCATTTCCCGTGAGGCTCAGCCGAGACACACGGTGGGTGAAGCTGGCAGTTTCCCCGCCAGCCAGACCACTTTTCACAATAGGGCCCTCCCTCGCCTTTTCGTTCCACCAACTGGTCCCCAGACACCCGCGATTGAACCCTGGTCGCCAATGACTCCTGCACAAAAATGCGACCGTCATTTCAAATTGGGGTTTTCGCTTTGATGAGCTCAATCCAGCTCTCGCGGACCAGAGGTTCGCTCTGGCCCATCGTGTGACGATCGCCCTTTGCACCATTCCTCTTCCGGTGACGTACGTAGGCGTAACGTCATCCGGTTTTTTTCTTCCGATTCCATTCCGATGAGGGGGGGGGGGTGTGTGGGGGACACGTCGTGTATTTTTTAAATGTGGCGGAGGATCCCGGAGGAGAGTAATCCACGCGACCGCCATGGGGAGAGAGAGAGAGGACAGCGTGAGAACACACGCAGACTCCAGATATACACAACAGGCAGCAGGTCGTCGCGGTCCGGGATTGAACCACCCACCAACCTCTTGCGTAGAAGCCGAGGGAGATGAGCTTTCGGGGGTAGAGGGAGATTCTTCAATTTGTATCCAATTTCTCTTCGAATTGTTATGGCTACTTGCAACAACAACCAAAAACACCCACTACCCACCCCTGTTCCACGTGGGGACACCGTTACACCGCACGCACGCCGTTGCGGGGGGAGCCCCCGCCTAGACAGGCTCGTCCCGACCAATCGCACACCTCCGATTAGCACGGTCGGCTACGTAGGGCGCGAAAGAAGTTCAACGTACAAAAATCGCTCGCATTTTCTGTTTGCACTTAGTCACATATTCACTTTAAGATGTTTCTTGTTCATGTTTTTTGTTTGTTGCGGTTGCACCCGATTCAAGAGCCGAATGGCTCACAGGGCTACACCTATTACATGAACTTGAACTAGAACCACAACGCACGCAGACGGCAAATACTTATCACGGCACTGACTTTTGCCGCCGTCGTTATCGTCATATTCTTAGGTTTTTTCGGTAAAGTCACGTAGGTAAAAATGTTAAATTAATATTACTTGATACAGCTGTCGGGCTGTGACGGTTCCACCTGAAGACGGAAGCTTGTGTTGCCTCCGAAACGTCGTGATTTTTATTTTATTTTTATTAATTATAATTTTTTACCTACGTGACTTTACCGAAAACACCTAAGAATATGAATCCTTGCAGTCACGAAAGCTTCACATCTCGAAGTCGTGATCGTGGTTATTGTTTCCCCCTCCCGTGCGCGCAGGTCCTGTGCGCTGGGCGTGGTGGCGCTGCTTTGCCTCCTGGGCGTCACCTGGGCCTTCGGGTTCCTCCTCGTCGACAAGGCCACTCTGGTCATGGCCTACCTCTTCACCATCTTCAACTCCTTCCAGGGCACGTTCATCTTCATCTTCCACTGTGCTCTGCAGAAAAAGGTGCCGATCCACCCTTTTCCCGTCGCACCGTTTTTAAATCCTTTATATTAAGTTCGCTTGCGCGCTTACGACCGTGCAAATCTTTCAGTCGTTTTTTAACCCACTTCCCGTGATCCAATCGAGCTGACATTTTGCACACAGACTCGTTGCGCGTGACAATTAATGTTCGTGAAATTTTTTTTCCAAAATTTTACACTTTTTAGGACAAAAATATGATATTTAATTACCAATTGCTTAATGGTGCAATGCAATCATCTGACCCATAGGTGGCAGCCATCTCAAGCCAGAGGACGAGAGGACTCTAGCCGCCACGCATATAAAGGATTTATAGTGAAAAACTTTGTTTTTACAGGTTATACTTGTTTGTTTGTTCTGACGTGGAAGTGCGCCCAACAATCTTAACAACTCGTAATTCGATCATTGTTTTTTTTACCCTTCTATCTGTCAACAAAACTGACACCTTTTTTTTCGTCAGTTTTGTTGCCGGATGGAAGGGTAAACAACCAATTATCATATTTTTTACTGGCAAATGAGGTTCCGATTGGGTAACTCGTAATTCAAACTTTTTTTTTAACCAGGTAAGGCCCACGGAGCGATATGGCTCTTTTTCAGGATCTTGAACAGAATGAGGATGTGTGTTTCTAACTGGAGGAGGAATCCGATGAGCTATGAAGCTCTTTCTCACAGATGTCCAGTCAGGGCACAGAGTCAGAGCGTCACGACAGCGAACCGCACCTCAACACAACAGGTGTGCCAGGTTGTGGAAAGGGAAACAGATCGCACAACATTGCTTATTTTCTATTTCACCGGGTAAGTCCCACTGAGCCTTTATACAAGTGACGGCTCAACGGAGTGGCTTGTCACGTGGACATTCATAGCAGCAGCCAAATTATCTATAAACGCGCAAAGTCAAATCTAAATGTGGAGGACCCAGGGAAAAAATCCACGCGAGAGAGAGACACCGCAAACTCCAAATACACAGCAGGCGTCGACAGGTTCGAGATCGAACCCTGACCGTAACCCCGACTCTGAATGCTACCTTGAACACCATATAACCCTAACTCTAGGCCTGCTTGAAAACTCTGACCCCCTACCCCTCGCCTCCTACCCGTGCAGGTGCTTAAGGAGTACAACAAGTGTGTAGGGCATGCCGAGTGGTGCGGATGCTGGGGAAACAACTTCTCATACGCGTCACTCCAACGGCAAACGCTGCTCTCCCAACGTGCAGGTACGCACGCACGCTACGCACTACATATACTACATACACACCACACACACACGCTACGCACTACATACACACACTACATACACTACACACGCTACATACACTACACACACACCACACACACGCTACATACACTACACACACACCACACACACGCTACATACACTACACACACACATACACACGCTACACACACTACACACACACCACACACACACACACGCTACATACACTACACACACACATACACACACTACACACACACCACACACACGCACGCTACGTACACTACACACACTGCACACACATCTACACGTGCTACTCTCCCAACGTGCAGGTACGCTGACGTTGAGGGAAAACAAGTGAGCCGATGAGAGCGACGTCGACGTTGCCGGTGGTGGCGGCTGTGGCCGCAGCCCGACCCGGATCCCGTGCGAGGTCGCTCACCCGCCTCGGTCGCTCACCCGCGGTGCCCCGACTCGGTGGCTCACCCGCGGTGCCGCCGCCGCCACCCTCGGCGATCGTCGCCGGGGAGGACGTCCACCCTCCTCCTCCGGCCGCGTACTTCACATGTCATGTGACCCACGCGTGTGGAAGCGTCACGCATCGGTCCTGGGCCTCCGCTAGGTCGAACGTCTCCACTGGGGAGACAAAGGCGTGTGAACGTCACCACTGGGGAGACAAAGGCGGCCGGGCATGGTGGATCCAAGTCTCGGGCGAAGCCGGGTAGTACAGCTAGTAGCTTAATAACGTCAAAGATTCTCCACTTGTTCAACATCGTTGTCAACGCGTGGCCTGGAGTCTTCTCCACGTGGTCTCCAGGTGCCCACAGGCACATTTGTCGTGGTGGTGGTGGTGTTGGTGGCGTTGCAAATTCTCAGAAGTGTTATGTTTTTGCTGTCCGACCTGCAAGACGGCGGCGGAGGGCGGTGGCAGGGGACGCGTGGATGTCTCGTGTTGCTGGTTCAGCGGTAATGTTACGCGTGCAACGCATTTACTAATGCAGATGCGTGCTTATTGCGTGCCACGACGGGACACGTTGTACATGATTGCACGTAAAGAATATTCAGAATGTTGGAAATAATGTCTTCTACTTATAATTGTTTATGTATATCATGTACACTACTTCGCTGCATCGTGTCGCATATCCTGCATTGCGCAGTTAATATTGGTAACTGCACACAAATGCACATTTTGCATTAATCATGCAAGGGGTGGTAACTATTGCAAATACTGTAATGCATAATTACGTTAAAAAATGTTCATGTTTACAAATTATGCAATAAAGTACAAAATGACAGTTTGCAAATATTTGATTGATATTGATTGACTTTCACATTCTTGTACACTCATTGTATATGGTCTCATCAGTATCAGAAATGAATTTACACCGCTTGCATTGTCCAATGCATTACACGCTCATCAGATGGTGCACAACTCGGCCTTACAATAAATCACGACTGAGGATCATTCCGTTTGCGACGCTTCGCTATGAACCTGGCGGCCCGAGTTCGAATCCAGGCCACAGCTAACATCATTGTGGCGACGGCATTCAACTCTGCAAAGCCAATTATCAGTACAAAACGGACTTTCATGACCACATGCATTATCAAGGTATCACAGGTCATTAAAATGCTCTATCAAAGCAAAATAGTGTCCTGTGCAAAACTGAGGTCCATCGCAACATTGACCCGCTGATGTTCATGAACAGTGCCGCTACGTGAAGTAATTGTCATGCGAGCGTGCGCTGGTTTCCCCGCCCCAGCCCCTACGCCAACCAGGCGACACGAAGAAATACAGAGACGGAGACACCGTTTTGTTTACTGTTTTCTGGGGCAATGCCACCGATATATGTTCGCTAATGGAAGAAACACAAAAGAAATGTCAATCTCTCTCGGCCTGGGGCTCCATGCAAGATCTCACCTCGTGGAGTTGCAATGATCATGAGAACGGTGAAGAATCAGCCCAGAACTACACGGGAGGATCTTGTCAATGATCTCAAGGCAGCTGGGACCATAGTCACCAAGAAAACAGTTGGTGACACACTACGCCGTGAAGGACTGAAATCCTGCAGCGCCCGCAAGGTCCCCCTGCTCAAGAAAGCACATATACATGCGCGTCTGAAGTTTGCCAATTAACATCTGAATGATTCAAAGGACAACTGGGTGAAAGTGTTGTGGTCAGTTTAGACCAAAATGGAGCGCTTTGGCATCAACTCAACTCGCCGTGTTTGGAGGAGGAATGCTGCCTATGACCCCAAGAACACCATCCCCACCGTCAAATATGGAGGTGGAAACATTATGTTTTGGGGGTGTTTTTCTGCTAAGGGTACAGGACAACTTCACCGCATCAAAGGGACGATGGACGGGGCCATGTACCGTCAAATCTTGGGTGAGAACCTCCTTCCCTCAGCCAGGGCATTGAAAATGAGTCGTGGATGGGTATTCCAGCATGACAATGACCCAAAACACACGGCCAAGGCAACAAAGGAGTGGCTCAAGAAGAAGCACATTAAGGTCCTGGAGTGGCCTAGCCAGTCTCCAGACCTTAATCCCATAGAAAATCTGTGGAGGGAGCTGAAGGTTCGAGTTGCCAAACGTCAGCCTCGAAACCTTAATGACTTGGAGAAGATCTGCAAAGAGGAGTGGTGGGACAAAATCCCTCCTGAGATGTGTGCAAACCTGGTGGCCAACTACAAGAAACGTCTGACCTCTGTGATTGCCAGCAAGGGTTTTGCCACCAAGTACTAAGTCATGTTTTGCAGAGGGGGTCAAATACTTATTTCCCTCATTAAAATGCAAATCAATTTATAACATTTTTGACGCGTTTTTCTGGATTTTGTTGTTGTTATTCTGTCTCTCACTGTTCAAATAAACCCTCCATTAAAATTACAGACTCATCATTTCTTTGTCAGCGGGCAAACGTACAAAATCAGCAGGGGATCAAATACTTTTTTCAAATCAATTTATAACATTTTTGACACGCGTTTTTCTGGATTTGTGTTGTTATTCTGTCTCTCACTGTTCAAATAAACCCACCGTTAAAATTACAGACTGATCATTTCTTTGTCAGTGGGCAAACGTACAAAATCATCAGGTGGATCAAATACTTTATCCCCTCACTGTACAGTTACAAAGTGAAGACAAATACAACTTATTCAGGCGAGGGCAGGAGGCAAGGCCCCGCGTTGTAAAGTTCCAACCTGGACATCGATTCCAAAGCTCGCTGCTACTCAATTGACATCCCTACGAGAGAGTGAGAGGCTCTACCTTGGTAAACAACCACAATCACAACAATCACAACAACAACAACCACAACAACAACAACAATCACAACAACAACCACAACAACAATCACAACAACAACAATCACAACAACAACAACAATCACAACAACCACAACAACAATCACAACAACAACAATCACAACAACCACAACAACCACAACAACAATCACAACAACAACAATCACAACAACAACAACAATCACAACAACAACCACAACAACAATCACAACAACAACCACAACAACCACAACAACAACCACAACAACAACCACAACCATCACAACAACCACAACAACAACCACAACAACAATCACAACAACAACAACAACAATCACAACAACAACCACAACAACAATCACAACAACAACAACCACAACAACAATCAAAACAACAATCACAACAACCACAACAATCACAACAATCACAACAACAACAACCACAACAACAACAATCACAATCACAACAACAATCACAACCACAACAACAACAACGAGAATTCATCACCTCAGATTTCAGAAAAAGCGTGGAGCGGGCAGCTTCCTGTTACCCCGTGACGTCACGCGGCAGCAGAAAGTGACATGACGTCACTTCCGGGATACAAGCCACGCCCCTCCCACAGATTCAGCAGTGACCATCGCGGAGGTGACGTCACGCACAAGAGCGTGGTGGAGGGGAAAACATTAGTGACATGACGTCACTAGCGAGGTTCACGTCGATGACGTCATGCTGAGTGGAGTTGAAGTTTATTTTGAGTCAATTTCCATCGCTCCATCTCTTGAACAGAGACCCCTTGGGTGGGTGAGCTCAGCAGCTACAATGTTTACATTATTGTGTGTACACAGTGTGTGTGTGTGTGTACACTGTGTGTGTGTACTGTGTGTGTGTGTGTACACTGTGTGTGTGTGTACACTGTGTGTGTACACTGTGTGTGTGTACACTGTGTGTGTACACTGTGTGTGTACACTGTGTGTGTACACTGTGTGTGTGTGTGTACACTGTGTGTGTACACAGTGAGTGTGTGTGTACACAGTGTGTGTGTGTACACAGTGAGTGTGTGTGTACACTGTGTGTGTGTACACTGTGTGTGTGTGTACACAGTGAGTGTGTGTACACAGTGAGTGTGTGTACACAGTGAGTGTGTGTAGACTGTGTGTGTATGTGTACATTGTGTGTGTGTAGACTGTGTGTGTACACAGTGAGTGTGTACACTGTGTGTGTGTACACTGTGAGTGTGTGTGTACATTGTGTGTGTGTACACTGTGTGTGTGTATACACTGTGTGTGTGTGTACACTGTGAGTGTGTGTGTACATTGTGTGTGTGTACACTGTGTGTGTGTATACACTGTGTGTGTGTATGTACACAGTGAGTGTGTGTGTACATTGTGTGTGTGTACACTGTGCGTGTGTGTACACTGTGTGTGTGTACACTGTGTGTGTACACACTGTGTGTGTAGACTGTGTTCAGTGTGTACAGTTTGTAGACACTATGTGTGTGTACACAGTGAGTGTGTACACAGTGAGTGTGTACACTGTGTGTGTGTGTGTACACAGTGAGTGTGTACACAGTGAGTGTGTACACTGTGTGTGTGTGTACACAGTGAGTGTGTACACTGTGTGTGTGTGTACACAGTGAGTGTGTACACTGTGTGTGTGTACACTGTGTGTGTGTACACAGTGAGTGTGTACACACTGTGTGTAGACTGTGTAGACACCGTGTGTGTACAGTGTGTGTGTACACAGTGTGTGTACACTGTGTGTAGACTGTTTGTAGACTGTGTGTGTACACACTGTGTGTACGTACACTGTGTGTGTACACACACACTGTGTGTGTGTGTACACACACACTGTGTGTGTGTGTACACACTGTGTGTGTGTGTGTACACAGTGTGTGTGTACACTGTGTGTGTGTAGACTGTAGACACTGTGTGTGTGTACACACACAGTGTGTGTGTACACTGTGTGTGTGTAGACTGTAGACACTGTGTGTGTGTACACACTGTGTGTGTACACACACACTGTGTGTGTGTAGACTGTAGACACTGTGTGTGTGTATACACTGTGTGTGTATACACTGTGTGTG